AAAAAAAAAAAGCGTAGAGAGTTCTTTATGGATTAATGATCATTTCCAGAAATGCCTTCAGGGAAAAAGCTCGTTTTCCAGTTCTGACACCACACACAAAAAATCCTTTTGTGCTATCAGTCCCCATTAGAGGTAGTCCAGTGCCATGGCCTGAGCCTGCCATTGTGCAGAGGGACAAAAATGAAGACTGCTCATGTGGGCCCCTTCCTCGCGGTGCTTCTCCCAGCTCCTGGTGAGAAGAGGCAATCACCATGCCCACAAGAGGGACTCACATCACCTCAGGTCAAGTAGTGAGGGCTGCAGAGGGGATCTCTCAGGGACACCAGCAGAGGAGGCTGAGCAAGGAGGAGGACAGCCTTCTAAGAAAGCCGAGCCCTTTGTGTAATCTTCCTCAGCTAGTGAAGCAGCTCCTGCCACCGAGATCTTCTAAGAACCAAATGAAGTTACGGCAGCACGGTCCTCCTCTCGTGACTGAGTGAGCAGCTCACATGACACACCGTGCCCAAGTGGCCCGTGGGAGAAATGTGTAGGGAGCAGCAAGGGAAGGATCCAGCTCACAGATGACCAAATACTCCAGCTACTGGGGAGCATGCAGCAGCTTCTGGCCGATGGTTCCGTGTACGTTACGTGGATGTCTGGGTCAGTGTTATCACGCTGTTACGTGCACCCAGGTGCTCCAGAAAGCACAGGGCCGGGGGGATGGCAGGAGGGCGGTCAGAGCATGCCAAAGCCCTCGCAGCCCTCACTGATGGCCAGCTGCAGCATCCTGTGCACCTCTTCGTACGAGTCATACGTGGGGAGGCACAGCTGGTTAAAACTGGAAGGGCAAGGGGAGAAGGGATTAACTCACACTGCCAGAAGCACTGGCAGGGGCTGGGACGACCCTCCCCCGTGAGCGTGCACTGGACGGTCTGGTACGCACCACGTGTGTGCAGTCGGGAGCGTGCTGTGGGTCGGAGCAGCAATAATCTGGAATGAGGGACAGAGGGCAGCGAAACCTCCGGGTGGTAGCTGAGAGGAGCCTGTTGTGAACTGTAGCAGCCGAGCCAACTCCTCCTGGGTCAGACTGGAAACCACAGTCCAGAACCATCTCATGACCTGCCAGAGAGAGAGAGCACAAGGTGGGGTCACACTCAAGTGTGCAGCCTAGGATCTGACCCCTGGGGAGAGAACAGGATACTCTGAAGTGGGCGACAAGGGTAGCAACGGTTACAGTCGACAACCTCTTTACGAATTTCTGTTGTCACACAGTCAGCAGGGTGGTCGTTGATTGCCTGGTTCTATTCCTTTGCATTTCTCACGTACGACTCCTGTGGCAGGCAGCACAACAGCCCCGAGGGACCAGGGCTCCCTTCTGCCTGGACAACCACCTGTCTCTCCCTCATGTGTCATTTTTTCCCAGTCGATACGTCTGCCTCTCTGATTCCTGGATACTTCTCTTCTGAAAGCTTTTCCTTGTAACAGGGCACAAATCCAATGAAAGGAAGTTTGGCCCACTTACCTTCTCTCTGAAATGCCATGAGCCGCCAACGACCACTGCGTGGGCTTTGAAGTCAGACACACTGATGTCCCCAGTCCCACACATCAGCAGCTGGAGAAAATAGTCAGGTGTTACCAGGACAATCAGGGGACAAAGACGCAACATAAGGTCAAAATTGCCTGTGTTAACATGCAAAATATGGAATAAAGAAAACACCAGGAAAAAGACCATAAGGTGAGATCATAATGCCAGAACTCTGCTTTAGGAAAATTAATTATAACAGGCCAATGGTTCCTAACCAGCGTGGTAAAAATCACACAGCTTTTTAATTTTTTTTTTTCAACGTTTTTTACTTATTTTTGGGACAGAGAGAGACAGAGCATGAACGGGGAAGGGGCAGAGAGAGAGGGAGACACAGAATCGGAAACAGGCTCCAGGCTCTGAGCCATCAGCCCAGAGCCCGACGCGGGGCTCGAACTCACGGACCGCGAGATCGTGACCTGGCTGAAGTCGGACGCTTAACCAACTGCGCCACCCAGGCGCCCCTCACACAGCTTTTTAAAAAAATATGTAGATGCCCAAAGCCTTACCCCAGACCTACGGAATCAAAATCTCCAGGAATGGGTTAGGAACTTGTGTATTTTGAAAAAGTTTCCTGTTACTGATGTGCACCCCTAATTAAGAACTACTGGGTGATCAGTCGATTCAACATCTGACTCTTGATTTTGGCTCAGGTCATGATCCCAGGGTCGTGGGATCGAGCCCTGTGTCGGGCTCGGCACTGGGTTCGTAGTCTGCTTAAGATTCTCTCTCTCCCTCTGCCCTACTCGCACAAGCTCTCTCTCTCTAAAAAAATAAAATAAAAAGGCACACAGAATAAGAACTGCTTTCTTGTTTAAAAAAAAAACAAAACAAAAAACTGCTGCAGACTATTTTGAATTGAAACAAAAGACAAAAAAAGAACCAAGTATTTACTGAGTCTGCTTTGGAGAGAGTCTAGGAACACCAGGAAGAAAAGGCAGGCCCGTTCCCTCTGATGAAAAGTCCCAGCTCCTATGAATATTTCAGATGGCCTTTTCTGTTTCCCTTCTTTTGTGGACTGAACTTTTACTACCTTCCCTTTAGCCCGGCCTCTACTTGATCAGATAAATTAAAAAGTATACAAAAAAATGAGAACATTAATGACTTCAGAGGCCTAAACACCTTGTTGATATCCTAATTTGGTTCAGGTTCCAGCATGTGACTTAGCAGACTGTGAGTACTTACTCAATAGTTATAAAAAAATGACACATCTTGGGCACCTGGGTGGCTCAGTCCGTTAAGCGTCCAACTTCAGCCCAGGTCATGATCTCGCGGTTCGTCAGTCCGAGCCGCGCGTCAGCCTGTATGCTGACAGCTCAGAGCCTGGAGACTGCTTTGGATTCTGTATCTCCCTCTCTCTCTGCCCCTCCCCAGTCTGCACTGTCTCTCTCTGTCTCTGTCTCTCTCTCTCAAAAATCAATAAATGTTTAAAAAAAAAAAAAAGATACATCCTAATCAAGAGACCAGAAAAGCCCAAATTAAACCTGAGGAGCCTTGCCTCCTTCAAGAAGAAACTGCTAAGCTAATGAGTGAGAGTAGAGTGCGAGTAGAGTGCCGAGTAACTGTAAGAGACTGTGTCCTTCCTTCCTACTCACTTTTAAACGTTGTTACAAATGCCATGCTTCATGGTAAAACAAAATACACCAGTAGCTAGCTATTCCTCAGCCCCCAAAATAAACAGCACTAGATGATAGTCTATGGGAAACTTTAGGCTGAGAGATGGAGCGTTCATTTTGTTTGAATTTCATGTATGAAGGCACAAATGTGATGAAAATTGCACCCGGCTTTAGTTCTTGTTCTTGAAGCCAATTCAGTTAATAAGAATAAACACTCTATAAGACCACGTGAAACTACTTTTTTGTTTTCTCATTTTTGAAGAATTTCCTCCTTACAGGCAACAGTTTGCAAAAACACACTCTTCATAAAAGCTGTGTGAAGTGGGAACTGATAAGTTGCCTTGTATGTATCATCTGTGAGCAGCAAGTAAGTAACCAACTGATTTTATTTTTTGCCCACAAGTTCTATTTTGATAATTACAGAATGGCATTCACCATCTTATAGCATTTTTCGGTTGTTACAGGATCTGAATAAGAATATATTAACTATATAGCGTTGTGACCCCAAGCTTTGAAATATGTCACATCTTTTGGTTTGTCTCCTTCCCTGGGACATAGCTCCATGATGGCAGGGGCTTTGTCCTATTCACTGCTAGTTCTCTAATGCTTCAAATGTCCAAAGGACGTTTGTGTAAGTGTCTCATACAGGAGACAATAGTCTCTGTACAAAATATTCTATTATTCCCTAAAATCAACTTTAAATGTCATGGGATTTACAAGGACTGCACACAATACCAATGTTCTTTACTAGTCAACCAGTTATCAATAATATTTGATGAATAAATGACTATTAATTATTACTCTTCAAGGGTAATTAGCTACAGTTTCTAATTTTCACATTCTAATGTTCTGAAAGCTGGTGAAAGGGTAAATGCATGGGAGGGTCACAAAAGGGAAACCAACTCTAGAACAAATGACTTCCCCACCTCATCTCATAAGAGAAGACACAACAAGCTGGTTCCTGCGTGCACACTCAAATACCCAGTCAAGAATGCGGGTCTGCAATTGCAAGCACTTACTTCAAGCTCGTTTTCATCAAAAATGGCCAAAAGGTTCTCAGGGACCAACTCATTCAGACCTGAAACAAAGTAGCCAAGTTAAAGCCAGACCCACGTTTTGGATATGGGGATTTTTATCTCAAGACCAAGAACAGACAGGCTCTCACCTTTTAAGAAGTGTTCCACCTCCTCTTTCACTTGACTGGCCAGTCGATATTGGGCCAGTAGATTTAAATAGAAGATTTTATTCGCATTAGTGACTGGGGTTTGAGCTCCACCTGTCATGAGCTCTACCACCTGAAAGAAGAGGCAAAAGAGACGGGGGAGGCTGTGGCTGGGAGTTGACGACACTCAGCCGCTACGTCCCATAAACACAGCATTATCGAACTCCATCACAGCAATGAGCGTCTGCTGCACCCTCAACCTCGCAACACACCTGGTTTCATATACTTACTAAGCTTCAGCGGTCCTACCACAGCACATTCTACTAGCTACTAGGATATCGGAGCGAGTCTTCTCTGACCTGGTCAACTAGTGGGGACGGAACAGGAAGATATTACGGTTCCTTGTCAGCAAGAGCCTCATGTCTCTATGATCCCAAATTAAGCCCCTACTGACCTTTGGGACACTGCCGTTCCCCCAAAGCTACTTATGCAGTGACACTTCATTATCACTAAGTTCTTTTTCTACTGGAAAGGAGGAGTGGGTAGGATATATGGGTACATGTGTCTTTTGCTCCATTAAATGGGCCAAGATCATCAACCGTGGGATGCAATGTCCTGATATGGTTGCCACTAGCCTCACGTGCTTACATTAATGACAATGAAATAAAGTGAAAAATTCAGTTATTTGGTGGATAACAAGCCACATGTTGGGTGTCCAAAAGACAGCCCAGATAAAGAACATTTCCATCATTGCGGAAAGCTCCATTTGACAGCCCTGCTGTAGAGCAGGCTGGGAACCACGGGACCCAAGTTCGGTTCTCTTTCTCACCTTATCCAATTGACCTGATTTATTATATTTCTCTTCTGCAAAGACGAGCTCCATCTCACTCATGTCATTGTTGAGGATGAAGCAAACTTTAGATTTGTAGAATTCTGGGTCATCTGTTTCAAAGTACTGAGAAGACAGAAAGACAACAGAACATGACTACTCGTACCCAGAAAGGCAATTTGTAACTGCCTGGAACCACTTACCCCTCCCCCCTTAAGAACAATGAGCGCAGAGTGGAGGAATTCCAGAATTAATGGCCAGGAGCCTTGGTAAAAACACATACCTAAGACATTACCTTATAATGCATACGTAGGCCTATGATCTGGGCCAAAAAAGAGCGGGTGAATCGAGCTCGAACCAATTGCTTGTAGGCTCCTCCTAGAGAGGACTCATAGAGACACTTGCCCACCAACCGCCCTGCAAACTCATACACCTTCAAGCGTAGATGAGCAGGGCGATTAGGATTGGGATGTACCTGTGAAAGAAAGAGATTAAAAGGCTCTGGGGCACTTGAGTGGCTCAGTTAGTTAAGCTTCTGACCCTGACTCGGGGCATGATCTCACAGTTCATGAGTTCTGGCCCCACATCAGGCTCGCTGCTGCTGTCCACCCAGAGCCACTTCAGATCCTCTGTCCCCCACCCCCACCCTCTGCCCCTCCTGAGTTTATGCGCTTGCTCTCTCTCTCTCCCTCCCTCTCAAAAATAAATATTAAAAAAATAAATAAATAAAGGCTCCGGGCCATTTTTCTTCAAGCCTGGTTCTGGAAAGACCCTCCCCGACAACTCCATCCCAAGGAAGCAAGAATTTCAGTGTTAGAATCAAAGAGTTGTCTAAATGCCATTAGTTGTTTGGTAGCTAACATGAGTAATTTAGACTGACTGGAAGATAGAGGGCAAAGATGGATTTACAGTAAATAGAAGAATCTTACATTAAGTCTGTGGTCCCTGGCTGGGTATGGAAGTTAACCAATGGATGATGGGAGGTCTTTTCCCTAAACCTGAAATTCTTTCAAACGAAGTCTACTTCTCTACTGTTTATACCTCTGCCTAGTCAAAGATCTAGTTCAAAAGTCAATGGCCTTAGGTATATTTTGAGAAAAGTGGCTTAATCATTATAATAGTAATTAGTAGAATGGTCATTGCACTAAAATACTTTTTAGTCAAATACTCATCGTCTGCATTTTCTCTTATTTTGCACATGAAATAATAAAGGCAAAGAGGAGGGAAGCAATCTAATTGGTTCATACTGTAAGTATCGAAATTAAGAACAAGACACAGGTTGTCAGATTTCCAGGACAGTTGCATGATCTCAAACCCTTGTTGGAGTTACGTATTGTGATGCAACTGACATTTTCCACCCGCCCACAGGGAAGTCGCAAACTCACTAATGCTTGGTTGTTGTCACTGAATCGGGTGAAGAGCTGATTGGTGGTATCAAATAATGCTTTGCAGATTAGCTCGAACCATTCCCGACGAGGCCCTCCCCAGTCCAGAGCTGAAAGGTATAATAAAAATAAAAAGGGACTCTGGCCTACCACCTCTTGTTGCTTATGTTCCTCTATTCATCATTCGACACTCTCCACCTTCCTTCCATTCCACTACGTGAGTGTTTCCCCATTCCAACCCACATAAACTGCGGGCTTTTTTTTTTGGAAATCCCATCCCTTTCTGTAGGATTAAAGGACTCAAGGTATTTTGTTCACTAAGCTAATGCCCCCTAGTATGGAAACATGGGAGATCAGAGATCCCAGGAAATGGACTTTTCTCTTGTTCTGCAAAGGTTACTACCTTCCCTTCTGGTCCCAACTCTTAGCGCCTGCCTCCAAGTCCCTCTGTCTGTGCTCTACAGGCTCCACCAAGCTACCTGGCCAGTAAACACCACATCTTCTGTTTCAATTTAGGACTTCTTTTTCCTTTAGGAAAATAAGCTTGGGCAGGGGCAGGGGTAGGGGGGATATTTTTGTTCTTTGTGGAAAGCAAGTAAGGAGGAGAGGAGGAGTGGGGAAGAGAGTTAAAGAAAATGAATATGAGGGGCACCTGGGTGGCTCGGTCGGTTAAGTGTCCAACTCTTGATCTGGGTCATGATCGCACGGCTTGTGGGATGGAGCCCCGCATGGGGCTCTACTTGGGATTCTCTACTCCCTTCTCTCTGCCACCCCCCCATCTCTCCCTCTCTCTCTCTCTCTCTCTCTCTCAAAATAAATAAACTTAAAAAGGAAAAGAATATGAAATTTTAAAACTGACCTTCTTCGTCTTGGAAAACCACTTCAAAGTTCTTGCTCCAATCTGAGATGGAGAAATTCCGGGTAGCTTTCAGAGACTGAAAAGCAGTGAAGGGAAGGAAACTGTCAGAAGACTGGCTGGCATCTCTTGGGTGTTCAACACAAAAACACAAGAACAATGCCATTGTCCCTGTAACCATTAGTACTTGGAGGAGATACAGTACTCAGATATAAGCTTTAATCATGCCATCTTATTATTTAAAATGCACAGATCTCCGGAAGAAACTTAAGATTTTAAAAAACAACCTAATTCATCTTTATACCATTGCTTTGTTGGGAAGTTTTGAAGTTTTTTTTTTTTTTTAATGCTCATTTTATTAATTAGAAAACTCTTACATGAAGAAATAAAAAGGACTCAAATCAGTAAGCTGTCAGCAAGAGAACCAAGGAGTCCTGGTTTTCAAGTACAGTGTTCACTAGAAATCTTTATCCACAGGCTATGTTCAGACAGGGAGCCATGCCACACAGGGAATGTGGCTGAGAAAAGGGGTTTCCAGTCGCACCTACCAGAGCCAAACATCACAAACACTTTCTGGACAGGGACCAAGCCTTCTCATTCTCGAGGAATGCAAGAATTATGCCAGTGTCTGTGCAGTGGAGACAGACACACATCAGGTGCTCCTTTTCCATCAGACCAGAGTGACAACAAAAGTCATTTCCTTTTAACCCAACAAGAGCTCTTCTATTCCAGGGATTCAAGAGTAAGAACTTTCTTCTGTCAACCACTACTTCTACCTTCCCCACACACAAGTTCCAGGAGATGGTTCAGGAACGAGTTCGGTACGGATTATAAAGCCGACGTGTCAACTAGTCTCTCCCCTGAATAACAGGTCTTGAACAAATCTACTCCAAACTTAGTACATAATCAAACAAAGAGAAGAGCAGTTTTTAACAGAGATGTTTAAAGAGAAGGGAAATTGGGGTTTCAACCTGCAGAACAGAACCAAACACCAAAGAGGTTTCTAGTTGCAAAATCCTGACAACTGACAACGGAAATGAAACTTTACGCACCGATTCCAACAACGTGTGTCTGCTGACCTTCAGGGTGACTTTGGAATGTGGTCTTTTCATATGCACCTGCCGAAGCTCTCGCTGGAAAAAGTTCACCTTGTCCTGAAAGGTCTCGGAGCCTCCTGAGGAGCAAGAAGATCCATCATGATCACAGCCTCATCTCAAGACACCTGTGCAGTCCACACCACACCTTCAGACGCCCAGCGTGGCTGGGGTCACTGCCTTCCCTGTCAGAACCCCTGTCCAATCTTACCTATATTCTTATGGAGAGAGCGGATGAAAGTGGCTGCTAGAATGTTCCTCTCCTTACAGCTGAGCTCCACTGGCGGCTGAATGCCATCATCTACCACCAGTGTCAGGAGCTTATGAACGGGGTCGGGGCCGAGGTATGAAAACTAACAAAGGACAAAAGAAAAGGTTTAGTATAAAACCCTCAAATCCAGCAAAAACTTTCCCTATCCCTAACCTTCAGTACCAACCAACCAACAAGTTAAGCCTGTTTTCTCTAAGTGAGTACCTACTAGGAGTGTATCACTATGTTTTTCATCTCTGTGCTCTACAATCCGATCTTATGTTAAATTACTGGAGTCACAGAGACTGCCTTTAGTGAGGATCGCAGGTTAACAATACAGACCTCCTAACATAAAATATAAGAAGGGTGTACTCTTGAAACCAATATTGTGCTGTATGTTAACTAACGAGAATTTAAACAAATAAAAAAAACTATCAAGGTTATTATAGGTAAATGTGTGTGTGTGTGTGTGTGTGTATGTGTGTACATATACACATAGAAACACACATACACTGTTGAAGGCAGGAAGGATATACAAATACCTGATGAGGTTGGGCAAACTGGCTGGAGGAAAGCAATTTGCCTTTAGATTCCAAAAGCTCGGAAAGTTAAAACAAATGTTTTTAATAAATGAGAATGCTGATTCTAAAAGAGTTAGCTTTAGCATGTTGGAAAACCAAGCTTGGGCCAGAACTGCCAACACCTTCTCCATTAACTTAGTCTCGGGGCAAAAGAGAACTGTTGAAGAATTCTGATTTGCTACTAATTCTTGTTTCTTTAGGCATGTGTCTTTCTAGAACTTCTGTATTCTTCATGCCACGTTGTGAGGACAAAAGACGACCCTTTCTTTATCCGGCAATGAATTCCGTGTGCACAGTAAGAACTTCCAGAAACACCAAAAGCCCTTCTAGAAATAAACGAAAGGCTGAAACATTCCAGAATGGAAGCCTGCTCAGCATAAACCAAATGTAAGGTTCAACTTACTTTTGTTCCTGGGCATACTCGGAAGGTATAAAGGCGCCAGGGAATGATTTTCAGGTAGAACTCCTTCACTGAGAATTGCTGGAGGGACAACATACAGAAAAGGAAGTGAGTGATAAATAAAAAGGGTCTATCTGGGTACTGTAATTAAAAAATCAGAGTCCCTACCTCCATTCCTCATAACCCTTTCCCTCTAGGGACAAAGAGGATACTTTTTTAGTACTAAAATAAAATAAATAACATCAATTCTATCTTAAAACAGGCAAATTGAAAATATTACTCTGACAATGCAATTTCACACAGAGACATTTCATAATCTTCCTATTCAAGTCTTACTACCAGTTCTAAATGTCTGAGATCAGATTTTCACTTTATGAGTAAACATTTTACCTAGAAACAATCAAAATCTCCTTCTGTTCAGCTGAGTGCTGCTCAGACTTCCTCAATGGACAGGAGATACCTGTGGCCCCTACCCACTGCTTTATCTCTATTAGAATGGTAACCAGGGGGGCCCCTGAGTGGCTCAGTCGATTAAGCATCCGACTTCGGCTCAGGTCATGATCTCACAGTTCGTGAGTTTGAGCCCCGCGTCTGGCTCGGGGCTGACAGCTCAGAGCCCGGAGCCTGCTTCAGATTCTGTGCCTCCCTCTGTCTGCTCTGCCCCTCCGCTGCTTGCACTCTGTCTCTCGCATTGTCTCAAAAATAAATAAACATTAAAAAAAAAAAAAAGAATGGTATCCAGGATTTGCCATGGGAGGCCAGGTGGGGGATGGGAGGGTAAAGGTGGTTGTGTGGTTGCAAACAAAAAAGCACATAAAAATGGTGAGAATAAAGAAGGGTCTCTTTATACTATTATAAAAAAGAAAAAGACAAAGCCAATCACTTTTAATCTAAAAAAAACCTGTTATCTAAATGTACAGATCTGGCTTTTTCTTGACTTAAAACAAGCTCTTCATTAAGAAAATTTCAAACACATGCTAAAAAAGGGAAAATGGTATGATGAACCCATCATCAGCTTTAACAATTACCACCTCGTGGTCAAACTTGCTTCATCTGTACCTCACCCTGGCCCTCATTCCCACTCCCCTAGTTCAAAGCAGGACAAGCTTTTAATGACACTTAGCAAAGTCTGAAGTAGAACGGAATTGGGACTCAGTTTTGGTTATGAGATTAAAGGGATAGAATGGGATGTTTCAAGAGCTCAGTTTTCCGAGGTCTGAATGAATAAGCAAAATACAAATACTCAAAAGAAAATCCTAACACAAAGTGCCTCTTAGCTCAGGGGCCTTGGGAAGTTCACCTCCCTGCCTCTGCCAAAATTTCTGTGTTCCAATCTTGTAGCCTGAGAGAGACATGCATTTATTGTGGTTTCATGAATCCAAGAATGAAAGATCAAATTGTTTCAAAACAGCAGAAGGGGCCAACAGTAATTTTTACACTAGTGAAAAATTTTTAATGGTCAAAAGTAGCTTTCTTTAAAACTCTGAGAGCCATTCCTTGAAACACCTTCCCAGAAGCAATCAAAGGGCAGAACGCCTCAGGTGCTCTAAAGCACCAAGGTACACAGACCTTCTAGACAGAGTCTTAATCCAGTCCAGTCCAAACATGTGCAGCAAAACTGGGGGTGGGGGGGGGGCGCAATCTTCTGCTCAAGCTTAAGTAGCCTCTCTTGGTATCCCAGAAAACCTACAAGTCAAAGATCTTGCCCTGACTCTCACACTAATGCTTTGTGGTTTTATTACCGATCGCCAAATATATGCAGGTTTAGGCAAGGGGATTTTGAGACAAGAGTGAGCGGTCCAACCTTTGGGGACACGTAGCAGTACACCTTCTTCGGTTTCTTCACCTTCTCAGGGGTCTGGCACTCAGAGGGTGAGTCTTCATCTTCCTCCTCCATGGCTGTGGAAGGCCGGCGCTGGGAGGAGCTCATGTGCATGGGGGGAAGGTGCCAAGGTGTGCTGGTACAGTTGGTGGCATTATAAAGATAAGCCTCAAAGTAAATGCTCACTCCTGAGGTGGACACGTTGCGTTCGACAATATTCTTCTCATTCTCTGAAGTAGTAACAAGGAACAAGGTTGTAAAGTAGGAGACGTGGGAGGAAAAGAAAGACCTGTCACTAGACCTTTAGTCCAGAGGACTCTAAGCCAAGTGTGGCTCAGATGGCAAATGTTTGTGAGGTTGGTCAGAAGAACGCAGACAACACAAAGAACAAGTGGCCTGGGACCAGGACTAAATCAGAGCTTTTCTTTCAACTCACCACTTAGGACAATGATGTCAAATTCACCATTATTGATTGGCTGATTTTGGTATGAAATGCAGGCATGGAAGCAGCCACGAGAATGCAGGGTGAGTCTCAAGAACACCTGGCAGGTCTGCCTGTTGGAGGTCACAGACTTCTCAAACGAGACACCAGAGCTCTCTTCTTCTTGGGGACCGAGCTACAAGAGGAAAACCGAGCATCAGTGAACATAGAAAATTTGCCCTAGTGCATGGCAGTTTACTCTTTACAAAGAACTTTCCTATTACAAGTTAATCTAAGCCTCATAATTACTAATGGGATTGGGCACTGTCAGAGGAAGGAAGGACAGTACAGAAGTCAAGGTGGAGATGAGAGGAAGTGAATCAGTAAGGGTGGGAATGACAGAAAAGGAGCACACAGAGAAGGGAAGCTGCTTACCTCATGAATGGACAAACTGTAATTGTGCTCATCTCTCAAGGATGCGGAATTGTTGGTAGGGTTGTCGTACTCATCTCGGGGCACTATTTGAAGGGTGTGTGGCTGTCCACAGGTCAATACAAGAGTAGAAAAATGGCACACTATTTTGGTCTTGGAAGGAACCACCATTCCTGAAACAGACAATGGAATCTAATCCTTAGCGGGCAGCTTATCAGAGCACAAAGATCTCTTCAATCGGTGAGTCCCAGAGAGCTGGGTCCTGCCCAATTCTTAGGGACAAACACCACCATGAAGAAGATGAGAAAAAGAAAGAAAAAGATTAATTCAAATGAACCGGGGAACTCATTTTCACAAATTTCTTTTTTTTTTTTTAATTTTTTTTTTTCAACGTTTATTTATTTTGGGGACAGAGAGAGACAGAGCATGAAGGGGGGAGGGGCAGAGAGAGAGGGAGACACAGAATCGGAAACAGGCTCCAGGCTCTGAGCCATCAGCCCAGAGCCTGACGCAGGGCTCGAACTCACGGACCGCGAGATCGTGACCTGACTGAAGTCGGACGCTTAACCGACTGCGCCACCCAGGCGCCCCTTATTTTCACAAATTTCTAACCACTGCTGCACTACACAAAAGGAGAAAAGGACTCACAGGAAACAGAACTGAAAGCTACATTGTGTCTACAGTCTCACTGGGAACCTACAAGTGAGGCAGGCCTCAGAAATTGGCGCTAAACAACCGCAAAACAAAGAAACAAACTCAGAAATACTTAGGTGGAAATCTAAGAACACATGTACATGTAGTATGTTGAAAACTAAAAAATGCTAGTGAAAGAAATGAAAAGGTCCACATAAAGTCAGAGGTCACCAAGTTCATGAACTAGAAAGCTCAACATAGTAAAAATGTCAATCCTCTCCAAATGATATTCATGTTTAATATCATTCTTATCAAAATCTCACCAAGAGTTTTTGTAGATATACCAAATATTGTTCTAAAATTTATACGGAGAGGAGTTAAGACGGCGGAGAAGTAGGGGGACTGGGATTTCCCTCATCCCTCAAACACAGCTGTTTTGAGGTGAGAACATTTGGAACACCCAGGAATACAGGCTGCAGAGTCACAGAAAAATCTCCACAAGTGGACAGAGCAGCTTGATGGGACAGAGGTTTGTGTATGTGAATTCGGAGAGATAAAATGGGCAGTGTAGGAATGGAGGGGAGGGAACCCCTTCTGTGGAGAGACAAAAGGGAGAGAAAGGCTATGGAAGTATGATATTGTGTTTGGACAAGAGAAAACCCTCTCCAGACCACGGACTGGGGAACGAGAAATACGGAGAGTGCCAGTGTCTACTTTGCAAACAGCCGTAGGAGCTGAAGATCAGCGTTTTCAAGGGTGTGTGACTTTCTCGGTACCCGGAGCCGCTGCCCAGTGCGCATGCCTGGCGGGGAAGGGAGTCAGCCCCTGGGCGCGGCAGTGATCTCAGGGGCACATTGGGAGAGGACAGTCCCCTCCCTCGAGTACCGTGGTTCGAGGATTTATTGCCCCCACAAAGGACAAAAGATCTTGCAGGAACTGGCCAGCCAGAGGCCCTTTGTCAGATGGGTGGAGTGGCGTTACCCTAGAACCAGGTCTGTGTGGTGCGGATCCTTTAAGACATTGGGTTTTGAATACTAGCCTAACGCCTGGGAGGCCCGGGACAAGCCCTGGTCCAGGGAGGAGGGACTGGGGCGTCTCCATTTTTCTCCCCATCACCAACACAGTGGGGCTTCAGGGAACAGGACAGCAGCCCCCAGTGGAGGCGACACACTGACCAAACCCTGCCCCTCCGTACCTGGTAACTGCTTATCTACTGGAGTGGGACTGACACTGACCAAACCAGAGTGACACTGACAGAGCCAGACGGCCTCTCCTGCAGACCAGCAGAGCCACCAGTCCCAGGCCCCAAAAGACAACTGTCCTGCAGTTTTGTATGTTAGTCTGTTGGGTTTTCTTTTCTTTCCTTCTTTTTCTTTCTATCCTCCTCTTTTTTTCCCCCCCTTTGGAATCAGGCTCATAGTTTCTGATTTGATTTTTGGTCAATTCTGACTTATATAATATATATAAATATATAATATATATATTATG